CAAATGATTTTGGCCTTTTAGATCAGGCAGACTATCAAGAAAACTTCACTGATGAAGAGGGAGATATTGTAATGATGTCCCTGAGGCCTGGGGGTGTGTTATCCCAAGAAAAAGTTATTCCGCAACCTAGAACACAAATAATAGAAGATATGAGTCCATCTTTACCTGTAGTGGTTGATGTGGAGGACCAGTCTGCTCCACGGCCGGAAGGAGCGGTTGTAAGGCGTACGAGAAGAGCAAGAGCTGGACAGCATTCAAACCCATACCATCTTCCTCGGCCTGTACATGTCAGTGAAGCTGAGTTGCATAGCCATGTTGCTCTTCCAGTAACGGGGCTGTCCAGCAATGTCCTAAATGGTTTGTTTCGCCCATGGTTGTAGTGGTTTAAGTTAATCGACGAGACGTCGATTTAAATTTTGGGGGGTAGATTGTAATGAGACCATGTCTGGGCACTACAAGTCCCAGCAGGCTTAGCGCCATGCAAGGAAGTGTTGTTGTTTATGTGCGGACACTTTATTTCCTGATTGCGGTGTAAATTAACAACAGGTTGTAGATTGCTCAGCGCTATATAAGTGAGTCAAAGTTTGTTTGCCATTTTGCTGTCGTTGTTGCATTCTGGTCGCGGCACGTAAAGGCCGGTAGGTAGTAAGTTTATTTGTGTGATGTGCGGTCTCTCTCTCTTTCTCGCGGAGTTTCCTTTTTTAACGCATGCATAAACTGACATTTATAGAGTCCACACTTCACGTGAGGGGTAGCTGATGAGCAAACAACATTTAATGCTGCCAGATCTTCATAGCGAACTTATTTAAAGAGGTAGTTGTTTTATAATTTTAATAAACCGTTTTTAGTGTTGTGTTTTAATGATATTATCCTTTTTTATTTCTAGTGCTATTACGGGATCATTGTTTGCTGATTGTTGCCTGAGTGTCAGCATGGGAAATTAAGGATCTTAGAGGTATTGTTTAAAACAAAGAAGGGTTTTTATCTTTTAATGCATGTTTTATTTATAGGATGTTTTATTGTGTTTGATTTCTTTATATTCTGAGTTTCTGTGTTGTAATAAACTGTGTTTCCCCTTTTTAGGGATGCACGGTTGCCGTTTACTTTAGACTTACAATAATATTTTTGTTATTGAGTCTTTGTTGTTGACTTTTGTTGTATGCTAATTTGGGTTGTTTATTATGTTGCTAGGTTGAAAACAATTTGTATTTTCCTTTGTTAAACTTTTCTTTCTTTTGTAGGTTCTGTTTTGGATTTGCTTTACCATCAGTGGCCACTGGGTTCCCTGCACTGTGTGGATGGCGGTGGAGAAAAGGTGGTTGGGATTGTGTGGTGATTTGGTCACTGTTGATTTTTGTGTTTTTTAGGTTGCAGTGTGATTGCTGTGAGCTGAGTGTGGTGAAAACACTGCTGCTTGGGTACCTCATCTGTCCTCACTTTCTGGGTAACCGGTGGCCATTAGTGGTTTGTTTTTTCTTTTCTTTTATTTAGTTTATTTACTTTTTTTTCCTCCTTATTTGCAATAAAGATGGAGACAATTTGTATATTACAACTTGTGGAATAAAATATAATTGTCCTCCTAATTGTAAGTCACTTCATTTACCCTCTGCTAAATCATTAACACTGACAAAAGTCATCTGGTCACATAAACGTAAGAGAAACAGGAGAGAAAATAATAATAATACAAAATAGCTAAACATTGACAGGGCTAAGAACAATTATTAACAAAGATTTTCAAAACCAGAGAGATTTTATGAGAATGTCACAAAACAGTTTACTTGGAAATGTTAAACAGAGTTCAGGTATGATTTAAGGTTGGTTATGGATGGGGCATCTAATTTAAAATAATTTAACGTGCGAATGCATTAAAGGAGCGTCTTCAGTTATTATTTAAGCGCAGCTATGTCAGGATTGGGATAGGTTATAATTTCATTATTTAAATTATGATTGTTATTATTATTATTTTATGACATGTATTTGGGCTATTGCGCTTAAATAAGTCATCTGTGATTCTAAATTAATATTTCTATTTATCCTTTTTAGCTATCACTTTGGTATCGTCTTTCTCTTCTTTTTTTCGAATTTTTTGGGGTTCTGCCACGGTTAAACGTTTGCAAAATGTCTTTAGTTTGTCCAGATTATCGCTTTTCCTTTAAAATAGAGACGAAGCAGAAGGAAAATGAATGAATTGATGAATGAATGAAATGATTGACGATTTTATGCATGTGCTGTGCGGCTTGCTCACGACAAAGTCGAACGAGTGGCCGCAAGCTCCGGTGGCCGGTCAGAGCCAGCGCCCCACAGCAAACTGAAGTGATGCTGGATGGCTGCCAATATATGATAGGAATTCTTCCAAAGTTTCAGATGATATCTGGGCTTGTGCATAATAATGTAAAATGAAAGTGAAAGTCATGACATTTGGCCAAGCATAAGAATAGCCTACAAGAGTGTTTCGATTATTATTAATCATGACATAGGCTATGTCATGCTTGGGCTTATATGAATAACACCTCGCTGTTTACCATTTCCGAAAGTGGAGCTGACGTCGGCGAGAAATTGCTTGTATAATTGTAAAAAGAGTGATGAATATTAATGGATTTCTTATATCTGTCATTTCTGATAATATAATTGATTGGTGTGAGCTTATGAGTTTCCAACACAGCAAAAATGCATCCAGAATCCTAAACCAATAACTTTGTCAAGCAAAAATTATGATTTTATAGGCTACTGTTTTTTTAAAAAAAAAACAAGAAAAAAGAAACTATTAGCTACCCTAGCAATTGTTTATTTAAATATGATCATCTCAAAATATAAAATAAAAACATAATGGTTTGAATTCGTGAAATCATAAAACAAACTTGCAGAAAAGAGTTAATAGAATAAATGAGCAAATACATTCTCTCCAGTAGATGGCGATTACAGCTCAGTAATAATTCCATGAGGATGAACATTGAGCTGCTTTGCAGGAACCCCTCAACCATGCATGTCAAACCACACATTATAAACATTAATCTTATGAAACTAGCTCAAGTGACAATTATATTAAATTTAAACCAGTTTAAATAAGTTTATATGTTTAATAACTGCAAAAAAGATCAACATTGCTAATCATAAAATGCAAACGGTCGCTGCAAAGTTATAAATAACGGTTTTCTCATTTAATACTGCAAACAAATTAAAGTCAGTTATAACTGCCTGTTATCAAACCACAGGCGACTCATTTTATTACTTATCATTGGCTGCGACATTGCCACTTTTGCGTTAATACCTTTTTCTCGCCTATAGGCTATATAACAATAAAACAATGATCTGGACAAACTAAGACATTTTGCAAACGTTTAACCATGGCAGAACCCCAAAAATTAGAAAAAAGAAGAGAAAGACAGGCAGAGTGATAAATAGAAATATTAATTTAGAATCACGGATGACTTATTTAAGCGCAATAGCCCAAATACATGTCATACAATAATAATATTAACAATCATAATAATAATTTAAATGATGAAAATGTATAACCTATCCCAATCCTGACATAGCTGCGTTTAAACAGCGCAAACATTACTCCTTATGCCATATTACGGTTCTGTGTGAATAACTGAAGACGCTCCTTTAATGCATTCGCACGTTAAATTATTTTAAATTAGACGCCCCATCCATAACCAACCTTAAATCATACCTGAACTCTGTTTAACATTTCCAAGTAAACTGTTTTGTGACATTCTCATAAAATCTCTCTGGTTTTGAAAATCTTTGTTAATAATTGTTCTTAGCCCTGTCAATGTTTAGCTATTTTGTATTATTATTATTTTCTCTCCTATTTCTCTGACGTTTATATTCTTTAGCTGTCAATATAATACTTAGCGTCTATGGAAGAAAGAGTCAATAAAGATAGACAATGTGTAACATCATATTCATCAAAAGACGGTTTATGTGCAAGTAACCGCACCGGTCCGAGCAGGTAACGAGCCGGCATGGGAGACGAGCTCCGATAAGTTTGCAGAACAACGTCTGTCCCTGGATCAGGAGTGAGCTTTACGCGATCACCAGCTGGCTTCCATTACATAAGGGCAAATATAGATGACTAAAACCTCATTTACTCATTTTGCTCATACTTTTTATTATTTATAATGTCCAAGGCATTGATATTAAAATTGAATGCTACTTTTTTTTGCCTTTATTAGCCTTTTTCTCGCCTGTTTACTGGGTTAAAAATCTTACATTATTCCATCTCCACCTGCTGGTGAAAGCTAGAGCAGCTGGCGAT